CAACCCTTTTCATTGTAAATTTTCACTCAGCTTTCTCTCTTTCTCTGATAGATAGAAAAAATGGAGGGCATTATTCCATTTGTTTATAAAGCAATGGTACAGTACTAAAATGGTGGTCAGGGACTTATGGGGACATGGCTAAATGAATCGCCATCCGCTTCTTACATGAGGCTTCCTGGTGACTCGGGGCGGTTCCAGACATCGGAGGTTCAGCTTTTCGGATCAGATTGTGGTTTCTCCACCTCTACTCAGCCTCCCTCCGCCTCCAAAAGAAGTGTTTCCAATGGAGTTCAATCACCGGCCCGCCATTGCACTCCTCGCCAGAGTATTAGGTAATATGGCTGATGATGATGACGAAGACGACGATACAAAAATTATGTGGAGTTGAACTTGTCGAATGAATTTGGAGTTTTCACTTCTGATAATTGTAAGAAATAATGAACTATCAGTATATGATTTTCAATAATTTTAGTTTCTATTTCTCAATGTTTGATTGTTGCGTGGATAACCAGAAGGACCACCACAACTGCATATGTTGTCTGAATGTCAAAGGTGTTTGAAGAAATTTACATTTTGTGTTCAAACGTGAATTCAAGCCAGCGTATTGAATCCAATTTTGTGGTCACATATTTATTAAAAACTGATTAAAAAAATCGTGTCATAAACTAAAGAGTAAATTGAATTTCTTTACCAGCACGCAACTTGACTTGCACAAACTTGGAATTATAGTATGTGTTTGGTGGAGATTAAAATCTTGATTTTTATCTATGTTAAAGTTGACAATTAATTTGAATCGTATATTTCATAGGATTCGTAACTTTTCAGCCATATATTGCATCAAATTTTATCAAAATTTACTAAAAACTTGATTTTAATTTCTCCAACAAATAGGGGATATGTGTGTGTGTGTACCAGAAAATTTTCTCCATGTATGTTGGTGACGAAAAATGTCCAATTTTCTAATTTCGTAATCCAATTCTTTTGTATATTAAACATCATCTTCATATCAAGTTCATTTAAGACATTTTTTCACACTTTCTAAGAAACCTTCTCGAACGAAGTACTTGATCCCTCTAAGCCGACATTCTATCCATCTATCTTCAACAAAATTATTTCATTAAGCAATAATCAATTCGTGGATTTACATGCTCCATCAAAGTCCAACTTGAGATCTCACCATCACATAATCTCCCGCTATCAAGAGTAACTAGGGACCACACGCTATTGAGATATGGAGTTCAATCTCACGACAATAACCTATCACGAGAAGTAGCTCAATTCCCTTATAAATCCAAGATCATCATATTGAGCTGATATGGGATTTTAGTCCGTACTTTCCTCTAACATATTTTATGTAATGTTTAGCTTTATGTGTATACTTTCGATTTTTTATCATTTTGGTTCTAGTATATGTATATTGTATATATAAATGATTTCTTAGCTTATTCTATTGGTTAAGTTGATTTTTTTCGAATAGTTGAGATGGGTCCATAAAAAAAAAAGCATTTCCTCCTAAGAAGTTAAGAAGAGACACATTTGGAAAACTTAGGTACAAGAATGAGATTTTAAAGAAAAATTGGGGACTGAATTCTTAAAAAACTTGTATTCTTATGAATAAAGCAAATATATTATAATTAATGAATGTCGGAACGTGAATGTAAACCTTCCTTTTAAATAGTGAAACAGTAAATAACATATATTTTTATCTTTAACACATCCTTCCTTAACCTTTTCAAATATGGTAGGTTGGGCTGCGTCTCGCAGCCTTTCTTTTTCTTTTAATTCTCCCTTCCTTTTTGTTTTAAGCGAATCCAGTCTCCCATATTAATCAGATTATACTATCTTTTATTAATATTTCTGCAAGAAGGGTTGTATTAGGAGTCTAATCATAACAGTTTGATTTGAAACAGGACAAAGTTATTGCAGTTAAAATAGAACGTTGAAAACTATTATATACAAACTTCTTGTTAATAACTTGAGGAATCGCACCCAGAAGGATTGCTGGAAGGTTCACATCAATGGACGAAGGCACCACTTTACTCTTAAGATTTATATTATGTTTGTGTTTTGCTTTCCAGCTTATTATTTTAGTTTTGGGGTTAATTTTAATGATGATTTTATCCAAAACGTCGATCGGCTTCTTAATTTGTAGCATTGCCATGGTCATTGTTGGGATCTTTGAAATTGTCGTAGCATGTGCAATTATGTTTTCTACGCGTAGAGAACTCAAACAGCGAGCAAAAGTTACACCAGAGTCGATTGCAGAAGTTTAAGTCCTCGTTTACTGCTTTGAATGTAATTTAGTTTTAGTTTTTGAGACAATTTGTATTATGGATTTTGGTGTTCAAAAGCAACATGGGGATTGTTGAAGTTGTTATAGTATTTGTATGTATTTAATTTATTTTTCATATATTTTGTTTTTTCGTACAAGCAACTATAATTTTGTGCATAAAACTGATTATATTTACATTAGACAAAATTAAAGAGTATATATATACATGTTAAATGCTTATTCATTGTCACGCATAATTTTATTACGTGCAGTATATTCGTTGGGATAACATTGATATATAATGTTTTTAAATGACTTCAAATTAGTATATTCGATCTATTAAGTATTGAATTGAGACGAAAAGGGTGTTTAAACATGTACCCAAAAACAAAGAAAAAGGAGTTTAAATTTGCTTTTCGCCTTTTGAAAAGAATGTGTTCTGAAAATATATAATTAAATACAGTTTTGCTAAAGGTGTCGACTGGTTGACATTGTATAATGTGGCCAATATTTTTGTCCTAATCGACAACATAAATTTTAACAAAAATGTCACCAAGAAGTGTACAAATACCATAATTCTAATTCATATTACAATACTATAAGAACCGATAATAAGAATGATTGGTTTATTCAACTGGAAAAACAAGAAATTTAAAAACCGATAAAATATTCATGGAGTCGAAACTGGATCCATTGTTAGTAGTTTTCCTAGTTATATTTCAAAAAGAAGTTTTTTATATATTATATAAATTTTTTTACCCCTGGTTGAATCCTGTTTTGATCCTAGATTATTTACCTTTGGTCCTTTACTTGTCGATTTTCGGACTGGGTTTCAATGGTTATATAAATAATGACAAATACCCTACTTTCATCTAAATAAAATTGAAAAATACATCATTTTACAATTTTTAAAAAAAAATGCCGTATTTTCTTTAAAAATCAATATATTACAATTTATCTTCTTTTTCTAATTATTTTTGAAAAATTGATATTTTTCGTTTGAAATTAAAATTTCTATTTTTTCTTATAAAACGATGATTTTAAAATCACGTGTCCTTGCCTTTTGTAGTTCACCCTAGTTTTTGAGACATCGTTACATGTTACGGACATCATCGATACTAAAACAATTTATTTTTATAAAATCAATAAAAAAAATGAGGCAAAAAAGGAGCCAACCCACAAGCCCGTATGAGCCGGCTCGTTTGGACTCGAGCTTAGCTTGTGAAAAATAATGTGTTCTCGACTCGACTTATGACTTGTCTCAAAACAAGCTCGAGGCTTGTCTCAAAACAAGCTCGAGCTGCCCAGTGGTCTAGTCGGGATGAGCTCCGTCCATAAGATCGAGAGTCGCTCAACTCTTATAAATCCCTAATTGAAAATAAGTTTTTAGAGAATGTGATTCAAATATGACAAAATGTGTGTGTGTGTGTGTGTGTGTATATCACATTTTCATTGTTATCCCCATAAAACCCGAAAAATTACACTTTAGACCTAAATGTCAGTGGCTTGTCTATCAATAGAAATTTTGGGGCCATTTGAAGGAGATTTTTAGAAAATAAATTTTATCAGAAGTGATATTTTTGGAGAATATATGGTTAAAATTTAACAATAATGGTCCATTTGATTGTAATGGTGGAAAATAGGTAGAAAGAAAATGTTTTACTGAGAATTGATTTTCCTCGAAAATATTTTACTGGGAATTGTAATTAATTGTGTTTGATTGGTATAATTTTTCATGAAAAATATTGAAAGTTTGATGTCCATTTGGCTTCGTTTTTTATGGAATTTGTCCATTAAAGAGATAATATTTTCTACCATTGGGTCTAAAATTTGTTCCAAGTGTAAAAAAAAATTTGAAAAAAAAAAATTTACCATTCCGAATATCATTCATTTGACTTTTTTTTGCATGGAAGTTGTCAATAAAAGTGAATTTTTTTTTCCATTATATCTAGAATTTGTTCCCATTACAAATAAAAAAAAAGGTGAAAAATATTTTCCCACCAAATAGGTGGTAAAACAAAATCAAGGTTTTGTGCATCAAAGGATTGTACCTAGAAAAATGTGGAAAACATTTTACCAGAAAAATTTGTACTATCAAACACTCTTAATTGGCTAAAGTTAGAAAATATTTTCTTTTTCTACCCATTTTCTAGGCATCAAACGGACCCTAAGAAAAATATGAGTCAATATGTAGAATTATTTTATTTGAAAAGTAGGTAACTAGAATATATTTAAACCAAAATTTTAAAGAATATGTATTAAGCCCATATTTGATAGCCATTATTTTTTTAAAAAAATGATGTTTTGAATTATGGTTAAAAGGGAGGAAAAAAATTTGAATTTACATATAAAATATTTTATTTTATAAATGTATGATTGAAAATAATAATAAAAATTAAAGAGTTCTCAAATAATTTTGAATTTGCTTGTAAAATAATATGGTTTGGAGCCTTGGAGGTTTCCTTGGGTAGGCTCTACTCTCAAATTTTCCCGGCGCCAATATGAAGGGGAATTTTTTCCCTTCAAATTTATTTTGAAATTTTCTCCTGTTGTTCATCATCTTGAAAAGGGCCAAGCCTTGTGCTTATTTTTGTTAAAAACTCCTTCAAAAGTTTCTCTAAAGGGGGGGTATTAGTTCCGATTAACATACAATTTTTTATTTTTTTTCAATTAACAGATCAAGCACAAAAAGGCCTAAACCTTGAACAGGTAGTCATTTTCTTTTTATTAATTAACAGACTAAAATCTCTTTTCTGGTTTAATTCACGCATCATTACTAGCTTTTATTTCTTAATTTACTGGATTCGTCTGAGTGGATCCGCCAATATTTGTAGTATTACTCTCTGCCAAATCTATTTGGAGCGTAAGAAATGACGCATGCTTGCCCTTTCTCCGTTTCTAAAGCGTTGTAAGATTTTATTATGCAAAAGTTCTTGTCTTGTTTGGTTAATTATATTAATGTGTGTCGTTCCAATTGATCATCAAATGCTGCCTTTTTTCTATCATCACTTTTGTAGAAATATAGTCTTCTAAAAAATGAAAAATTTCACTTGTAGACCCGAGAATAAGAGGGTAATTTGTTTTTTAAGATAAGATAGTGACATTCCGTTTGAGAGTAATGTTAGCCTGCAACATGCTTATAAGGTGTTTGATGAAATGCTTTTATGGGTTTTGGACGTGTGCCTCGACGGCCAAGGTACGAAAGAAACCTATTTTAAAAAGTTAAACTGAATGGTGCGATAGCTTCCACATGTTTAACATGTAATAGAATGTGTATTTTTGTTGTGAAATAAGACAAATTGTTGATATTCATTTGTAATTCAGGGTTGTTGCTTATCACTTGCTGTTCTTTGTAGAAAATTTGCAACAGCAGCAGTGCGACTATCAACAAGTTTTCGCTACGGGTTGAAATTTCCATTCAAGTGCTCATCAAGACAAATTCACATGGAAAATAATCACAGCAGTGATCCAAGGGGTGCTTTAATTGTTCTAGAAGGGCTTGATCGATGTGGGAAAACTTCTCAATCAAGCAGACTACTTTCCTACTTGGAAGAGTTAGGACATGCAGTTGAATCATGGAGATTTCCTGATAGAACTACAAATGTTGGGCAAATGATTTCTTCCTATCTTGCCAATAAATCACATCTGGATGATCACACAATCCATCTTCTTTTCAGTGCGAATCGTTGGGAGAAGAGGTTAGTTTTTGCGTGATAGTTTCCAACATTTGCCATATGCGTATTGAAGATGATTATTATTAAAAGAATAATGCTAAGTGTACATTTTCACACTTTCACTAACTTTTTGAGTTACTGTGCAATCATTATAGAATAATGCTAAGTGTACACAATCTTTTACACAATCTTTTACACCTCTCTCACATGGAAGGGGGCCCACACATAATAAAATAATCGTGGACCCCCCTCCATGTGAGAGAGGTGTAAAAGATTGTGTAAAAGTGTGTGTGTAAATGTAGCATTACCCTTATTAAAATGCTCTCTTTGGATTCCGTATCACATGTCAGGTAATTGTGTTTTTGCAAAAAAAGAAAAAAGAAAAAAGAAAAAAGGGTAAATTAATGCAAGGATGTGGCATGCCTCTAAATGAAAGTGAATGAGACACACGTATAAGATGCAACACTACCTATACTATATCCATCTTTGCACATCCGCTCTCTATGGCCTTATCCATAAATTAATCCAAAACTTTTATGTTTATTCCGATCTTCCCTACACCTAGGACGTTGTCTAGGCCAAGAACAGGGGCGGATCCACCACCCGGCGAGTTGGGACAGCCGCCCGTGTCAGATCCGTTAAGAAAAAAGATTAAAAGAAAATTTTGTATTGAATATATATAAATGTTAGTGCATAAATGTTATGGGATAAGTAATGTAGCTCAAATGGTTGAGTGCTTACTTTCCATGCGAGATAAATGGGGTTCGATTCCTTTCACCGTCACTCTTTCTTTTAATGTTTTGACAAATAATAAATAAATAAAAACTACTAAATGGTATTTCTCAGCATAAATGTTACATGATAAGCAAAGTAACTCAAGGTTAATAAACAATTTTGTTATTGCGGTGGTCAACGGCCGCCCTAGCTGGCTCAATATCTTGGATCCACCATTGGCCAAGAACCATAGTTAGTTGCTCTTTCCATTCGGTTGTCTTTCTCATTATTGGAATTATTACTCAGCACACCTTTTTTGGGAATTGGATCCTTGTTTAAGTGAACAATTGAGCTTAGTTTGGCTGCCTCTCAGTTTGGGTGACATTTGTTACTTTTCATATATACATAATCTATCTTAGGCCATACAATAGTTATTCAAAATAACACTGGGTTGAAGTCACATTAAAGTTGAAAGATTGATACCTGATTGCTGACTTTGTCAATGTAGATCACTGATGGAGTCTAAGCTGAAGAGTGGAACCACTCTTATTATTGATCGTTACTCTTATTCTGGGGTTGCTTTCTCATCTGCCAAAGGGCTCGATATGGAGTGGTGTAAGGTGGAGACGTCATCAGTGTTACTCTTACAAGATGTTAAGCTCTTGTTTGGTAAAGCTTTTCTCAGATTTTAAGCTGGTCAAATTTCATTTCTAACCACACGTCATTGAACTTGCAACTGTTATCCACTTTTTAACCACGCATTTTATGGGAACCACCAGGAATCACCAGCTTATAATCTTAAAAAGCTTTGTCAAACAGGCTAAATACATTATATCCTTTTGCTAATTTTGAAACAATAATTCTGGAAGCTAGTTAAATTATGAAGTCTTTTGCGCAGGCTCCGGAGATAGGTCTATTAGCTCCTGATCTGGTATTATATCTTGACATATCACCAGAAGTAAGTAATTTTGGATGCGCTGTTTTATGTGCATTGTATAACATTGAATTTCCACACAGCCTTGAATCTATATTGGCATCTTACATTTACTGGGTTGTTCTTTGTCTTTTCAAACTATCTGTTTAGGATGAATTTGCAGTGTATTACATACCTTCATGGTATTTGACCAAGTCTTATTTTATTTACATGCATTTGTAGAGTTAACATAGTGGAGAAGACTCATATTCTGGAACCTTGCACCATTATTCACTGAGTTAATCATATCAGTCTTGTAATACATTCATTTCTTACTTTTTTGATCTCTATCCACCATATAATCATCATGTGTGTCAATTATGTATTCTTATGACATTAACGACACAATTGTATTAATTTTTAATTTTCTAAATCAATTATGCCTCCTGTCTGAATTGAACTTGCTTTTGAAATTCTTAGAAAGCTGCTGAACGTGGAGGTTATGGAGAAGAGAGATATGAGCAGCTTGAATTTCAGGAAAAAGTTGCTGAATCATATAAGACTCTTCGTGATGCCTCATGGAAGGTAATGAAAATTTTGCCCTTTCTGAAACTTCTATATTTTCAACACGGCGCTGATTGAGTGTGTGAAAAAGTCTGAAATTTCAAAAAGTAGAATTGTGAGATTATACGAATACTTGTGCCAGAAGTCTAAAAACCAGTTGATGCAATCTTTGAGTTCACCTCAGACCTCTGATGGGGTTGTAGCACGTTTCCTTTGACACCAACTTCTAGTGTCAAATTGACATTGAATTAGTATTGACATATTATGTCAGTGATCAAATCTTCAAGTGGTGGCGTCTTGACAATCTATGATTTGACTCACTGTTATTTTCCTTGCCATAAAACGAAATGTCGAACACTTCCTTTTCATAAGTCAGCTCAATAAGCTTTTATGAACAGATGCCATTATTCTGGGGTTGTACAACTATTATGCAATAATGTTAGCCTTTTTTGTTATCCTGATTGTAGAATATAGACGCCACACTTCCAATTGAAGATGTTGAGAAACAGCTGAGAGAAACGGTACTGAACTGCGTGGAGACTTGTGGAAAAGGGAAACCTCTTTCAGGGCTCTGGTTATCTTAAGTTTTGAATTCTGGTTGAGTGCAAGTTTTAGACAGGCTTGCCTGCTATTATGAAAGTGAGGAGTGTATTCATAATTCAAGTTAATATTTGTGTTTTCTAATTTAGAAGATTGGCTGCGAAGATGACAATGATCGTAAAGCCTTAGCCCGTGCGGCCAAATTAAACACCTTGTATTGCTAATGCTGGTTCTATTTCAGGATAAAAGGATTTGTTTGTATGTATAGCTTAAAAGTTACTTTGAAGTAACTCATTTTTTCCGTTTAAATTTTTTAGAAGTTAGTTATTTTGTTGTCAGCTCGTGCTCTGTGTTTAATTGCCATTGATAGTTTGAAGCATGAAAAGATTGCTGGTGATAAGTTTTTCTGCCTACCGAACTTGCATAAGCTGTAAAGGCATGGCCATGGGTCGAATTTTTTAATGTTTATGTTAAAAAACGATGCCTCTCTCTTCCAGCTACTGTGTTTAATGGTTAAACATTGCCTACCGAACTTGCATAAGCTGAAAATTACTATTATAAAACTCTTTTTCTTTACCTTTTTTTTTTATAAAAAAAAAATTTGGGCTCAAATCCTCAAACAAGGGCTCTTTTCAATATTTTATTTATAACACGGTGTCTGCCATTTTCCAATTTTTTTTTTTTAAAAAAAAATCATTTTTCATTATACATTATCATTTCTCACAATAAAATATGCGAGTTGTTGTTTACATTTACAAAAGTTATATATATTTTAAAAAGAAAATTTTATCATATATTTTAATTTTATGTAAATTTACTTAAATAGATATATATAAAATTAAGTAAAAACATATCACGCTAAATTCGTCTACTAATATTTATTTTCATTAAATTCTTTGGAATTTTTTTTATAGAACGTTAATATTCATAAAATATCCTCTTCCGTCACCATTAGTAAAGAAATTTGACACTATACTGAAGAAATTGTTAATGATGAATTATTGTCTACGGACATATTTTGAAAATTTTATATTGCTCATCTAGCTTTTATTTCACAGATTCCATCCATCTTCTTGGAAGCAACAACTGTCAGAGGATATTTCTACGCATCAGTCATCACTCATGTCCACAGACGGTGAAACAAGGCAAAGAACAAGGCTCCATTTGAAGTTTAAAGCCTCTCTGCTGCCATAGCATCTGTCTAATGGTTGTCTTAAACATTTGCTTCTAATTTTTCTGCATATTCCTTCTCTGAGAGTCAAAAGGCATATAGAGACACTGAATAAAAGTTAAGGCTTAAACATCGGAAGATTTTAGTTTTTCTTCCCCCTTTTTGGTGTATTGTAGTGATCAAGTTGCTTTATATGGTGAGGAGCGATGCTTAGTGCACGGAAAAAATTTAACAGATTTTCTACAGATGTACACTTGGCAGTTAAACATTGGCAAATGATAAAAACAAAGAAAAAGCAGGAATAATGTTCCTACGTCGGGGTCAATGACAGGAGGTGAGATGATAGGGTGAGTTTGAGTAATGTGGCAATGAATCTAACCTATATTCAAACTCAACTTCTTGGAAAATGAACGTACAATTGTATGCTAGATATAAATCTATGCATATCTAGAGTTATTAGCAAAGAAAAAAATATTAGCATTCACGAAGTTATTAACTCGATCAGTATTAATGGTTTTCATCGTATTAAAATTATATGATGTTATTACATATTTAAAATTTCAAATCTTGTCAATATCTATTATGTCACTCTATATGTCACTTATTTTCTGATAAAGTAGCATTATTCATATAAAAATGGTGGAGAGAGAGATAAAAATTGTGTAGATGTATAAATATATAAAAATTATGTGGATTTAAAGTGTTTAAATGAATGAATTTATCGAGGACAATATTGGAATGTTTCAATAAGGATAAATTTAGAGTATGATAGATATACAACTCCTATGGAGGTAAATAGCGTCTCCCTAAATATTTTATATGTAAATTTAAAATTGTTTCATGCTTATTAATTACACATTTTATTTTATTTTAAAAAAAAAAACAATCATTCAAAATTAATTTAAGCAGTGTAGTGCTAAATAAAATTACTCTTATGTAAAGAATAATGTTAATGCTATTTAGCTTACAATTAAATGAATATTTTGAATTTGTCAGATTGGTACTAAGCACGTGTGCTAAATAGCATTACACGTAAATGGTACATATAGCAAGATCCGACGGAGCTCTCACTTTACACAAATTGTCAAACTACTATCAAGGTTGAGTACGACAGAGACGCAGTCAGTCATTCACTTTCTAGAACCCTAAATTTTCAGCCTTTTAAATTCTTTTTCTTATTGTCATTGTGACAGTTTTCGTATTTTAATAGTCGTAAACGAAGTGTTGATTCTTTGAATTGCCGACCGGACGACGATGGAGCAAAGACCTGTGTCCCAGGATGTTAGTCTTGCTGTTTCTGAATGCTGATAGAATGTGTTTCTTGATCTATTTTGTCTGTTCGATTAAGCTAATGGTGACTGGATTGGATTAATTTTTTTCAATTTTTAGGTGTTTGTTCCCCCGCATCCTCTGATAAAGCACTGGATTTCAGTTCTTCGAAATGAAGACACGCCTTGCGCAATCTTCAGTAAGTCCAATTTAACATGCAAATTTGAAATTGTGCAACAAATTAATTTCAAACATTTTTAAAACTTTATTAAATTTGAATGGGGTTGGAGAGTATGCCTCGTTTATAGATTGAAATGAAGATATGTATTTTTTTTCTTTTTAATTATAGAATCTGATTGAATTCCTTGCAGATCATCACTTTACTTCCTCTATGAAATTTGTGCAATAAATTAAGAGGTTATGCTGGTTTTGCATTAATCTGTGGTTGTGGATTTAATTTCTTTAATACGAATTTGTGCAATTTTGTGAATGCTTATAAAGTCCAAAGAAAGTAAGGTCAAACCTTCATGCTGGGTGAGCACTGATATACAAGTCATAGTGGTTTAAATTGCATGGGAATGCATGCTTTTTGGTTCATGCCTATTGAATATAGCAGACAAGGGAGGTTTGGAGTAAGAACGGCCCAAATTCTTTTCTGAACATCTATTCTATTAATCTTTGTAGAGAATGCCATGGCTGAGCTAGGGAGATTGCTTATATACGAGGCATCGAGAGATTGGCTGGTGAGCAAATATATTTGTATGTTTTTATTAGATTTAATAATTTCCATGCAACAATAGAATGCTAAAGAAATATATAAGTTTCCATAACAGGCAAAAGTAAATAAGAAAGAAATTTGCATTATTTGAACTTTAAAAGGCAATAAGTTTATTTATTTATTTTCATCTTACCTAGTTCCTTTTGAATTTGAAAGTATAATAGGCAAGTTATCAACTTTGCTGCTCTAGAAAGTCACTATTGCCCCGGAAGTTTATCGCCAATTCTTTTTAATTTTCATTGCTATTTGAATTGCTCTCAGCCCACAGTAAGTGGAGAGATTCAGACACCAATGTGTCTTGCTTCTGTGGAATTTATTGATCAAAGGGATCCAGTAGTGGTTAGTATTATCACTTCTTCTCTACCTCTCTTGCTCTTGTGAGTGTTCCTGCATGCAGTTTATGATATATATGTCATGGTTTCAAGATATTTATGCAGAGAAATTTGTTGCAATATTGTTCAATCTTGCCTTTTAGATTTTTTATGTAGAGAAACGTTTCTATTGCTCTGAAGTAATATGTTAAATATTTTTTTTGGTCTACAGGTTGTTCCCATCTTGAGAGCAGGTCTTGCTTTGGCAGAGCATGCATCATCTATTTTGCCAGCAATGAAAACATATCATCTTGGTATGGGAATGTTTAGAGCTTTTCTAGTAATGTGGTAAAGGAAAATATAATTCAAAAATGGGGTCACAGATAAATTTGTTTGTCAAACTAACTAGATGCTTTAATTTTGAATTTTATCTTACGTATGAATTCATTCTTGTGAAACTCTTTTGTAGTTAAGTTTTTCCTATATAACTTTCTCTATTCTGGACTATTCTACATATATTGAGGTTTGATTTTAATTTTCTCCAATGTTGTCAAAATTGACGCGCTTGTTGCCCTTGATTCTTAATTCTGTTTACAAACTAAGGCATTAGCAGAGATGAAGAAACGCTTCAGCCAACTGTTTATCTAAACAAGTAAGCATTCTTTGTAGACAGAATTGGTGGAATTTTTAGTTTACATTCGTCTTACGTGGTTTAACTGCATCCGGAGGCTATTATGGAATGTGTTATGTTGATTGTGCATAAACCAATTTTTTTTTTTTTTTCCATTTTGGTTTGATAGATGTTTCGTTTCCATGTTATTAGTATTTCCATTGAGATCTACCTTGTGATAAGACCTCTAATAGATTTTGTGTGTGTTTCTCAGGTTGCCTAAGAGATTTCCTGACGGTTGCCGAGTTTTTGTTGTAGATCCTATGCTTGCCACAGGTATTGATACTTTTTCTTTTGATAATTTCCATGGTTCAGTTTTTTGCTGAATACGTTATATGATTCTGATTCCTTATGTTCTCTCTACATATTAGACATTAACCAAGCATTCTCATGCCTTTAAATGTATTGCCAGTTTGCAATTGCTGCTGAGTCTTCCACTCTGATTAGACTTACTACGACATTACCATTGCCACTAATGTTTCCCCCTTTTTTAATGCTCAAGAATTAAGCTTCTTGTTCATTGGACAATTATAATGAATTGTGTAGAACAGTTTCCTGCAGGTTTCCTTTGCTGCTAAAATCCTTCTTGTCTTGTGCATATTATTTTGGTTTTATATTTAAAACCTGAAGCTAATCATTTCAAATAATAAGCTCCACATATAATCAAAGTCTTGGTTAGAATCGCAGTTTCCACAGTCCCTTTTCTTTCTTAGCCATTTAGGACTTCTGGATTAAGACGTTCTTTGATTTTTAAATTTTTAAGATTTGACATTGATGGATGAAGAAGTCTGAGTTCATGGTTTATGAATTTCATTTTGACTATTGAAATTTGACATTGGTGGATGAATAAAGTGCATCTGTAGCTATTGCCAGATCAACTTTCTCTCAATAGTTCCAGGTGTGATAAACTGAAACTGAGTGTTCTGTGAACTTTTATTCTCCTGACACGGTTGTAAAATAAAAGGATGGAATCTATTTTCTGTGATTGGAATAAAACTATAAGGAAGCTCGAAAAGATGACAAATAATAGTAATAAACATGGGATGGATGGCATAAATTCTTTTTTGGATTTCCACTCAATCCAGTATTACTTCTTGTGAAAGATTTGATGAATTCAAATATTTTTGTCAACCATGTTGGGTGATATTAATTTTGGTCCACATCTTTCTCTTCTAACCCATTTTATGAGGACCACAATTTTCTAGTGAATATGAGCTTTAAGTCTACGCAACATATACACCAACCAAGACATCCTTTCCTTCTCTTATATCAAATGGTGCAACCTCCACTTGTTGGTGTGTATGTCATTTCTTTTTATATACGGAAGACTATGGTCAATGTACACACGTTGGCTCCTCAAGTATGGATAGGTTTTAGGGCCTATATTCTACTGTATTTGCGAGGAAATGCTTGATTGATGTTCGTATATCCAATATTGTCTGCACCAGGCTTGTTAACTTCCTTACCTATTATGTTAAGGTGGCACAGTAGTTGCAGCTCTTGAACTGATAATGGAGCGTGGTGCTGACAACAAACAAGTCAAAGTGGTTAGTACTTGCATTCATGATATCTCCATTTTCTAAGGATTTTCTAAAATTTCTCTGCCGAGTGTATTTAGATTTGTAGTGTACCCTTAAGTGAATTTTCTTGCTGCAATGTATGGTGGAGGGATGAAGCTCTATGGATAATTGGAATTTTAGTAATGAATTGTTGTTTGCCACTCTGAATGTGGAATGTTCTTTTGCTCTATATATGTGCACGTGGAAATTTACTTACCTTACAATCTGTGTTTTTATTAGATATCTGCCGTTGCTTCTCCTCCTGCCCTACAAAAGCTCAGTGAGAAGTTTCCTGGGTAATAATAATTCCAAAAGATATATATCACGGCCTTAGGTGTTGCATATGGTGGTTTTACTAACTGCTGTTGTCCTGTTTGTCAGGCTTCAAGTATATGCTGGAATTATTGACCCCACTGTTAATGAGAAAGGGTATGGCAAATTTTATATTTCGACCTTTTCAGTGAACAGAAGCTTGTATAATATAATCACTGCCTAAATTATTTCATCATTTCTTCAGGTTTATAATTCCTGGACTTGGAGATGCAGGAGACCGTAGCTTTGCCACATAAACTGTCAACTGTGCAACTAGCTAAGTCTTGTTTTGTCCAATTTTGGAATTCCAAGGTGTGCCATCTATGGAGTTTCAAGCCAAGTTCATCTCTTAGATACTGTCTACAGATTTTACCCAAATTAAAGGGATTGGTCCGCTGATTTGTGTGATTAGTTGCACAATTTTCAAATGTTAGTGCTACTACGAACTAAATGAGTGTAATGAAATTGATTGAAACTCGCCTGAGACATAATATAAAATAATATATATTTTGATTTTGTCTGCCATAGTTGATCAAGTATCACTTTTATATTTGTTAGTTACTTTTCTTGATATCGTGGTTTGGAATGTTATGTTTATTACAGATTTTGAGGGTGCTGGTGTTTTGAATGCAAAAGTTAGATCAATTGAAGATCTACTGGTTTCTCAACAATTTGTCATTGCTGAAGACACTTTTTTGTATTTTCAGTAAATTATATTGGCAGGTTGCTATAACATTTATAATAAGAAATGTACAGGAGATGGGGAGCTTTATCTGCTTCACCATGAGTGTACGTGTAACTTGCTATTGGCTGCGTTGTTAACTTAAATGAAACTGCCTATTCCAACTTATATTTGACAGTTAATCTATATTTGAGGCCTTTGATGCAGTCACAAGGCCATTGTTGCCACGGCTAACTGTGCTGTGAAATCAAAATGTAGTCATGTTTGCCATTTTACGTTCAAGAAAGAAATATTTAATGCAAGCATTTCAGCAAATTGATTCTCAGCATCTTCAAATTCAGTTCCACTTGTACTATCATTGAAAGGATATAGAGATCCAAGTTACAGCATGTTTAATGCATAACGGAGTTTAGAATTTTGGCTCACAATTCGATCAAACTCCAACCAGATTGTGATAGCAAAGAATCTATTATCGTAATCGAGACATAAAAATAAAACCAATAGTAGATATGGTAGATAGGACACTTACTGCAGCCTGCAGGTGGTCTATCAAATGCTAGATAATCATCCGTTTTTGCTAATCATTTTTCCACGTTCCTTGTTCCATAGCCTGAATGAGCTTGTAGAAAGAAGATATAAGAGAGATACATATAGACATGAATATTCTAGACACACATGTGACCACCATCGCAACTGCAACCACCAGTAGTCGAGCTACTTGTGTCAGCATGTAGCCCCGGTTTGGTGCCAAGACAGCAGCACACCAGACCAATCATAAGCATTAACCCACATGCAGAAGCTAAAGCTCGTGCCCAACTACTCCAGTAATCATTTTCCATTAAGAATAAAGGTAACAAGTCCTTGTAGAATGAAAACTCTATACTGGTATAAACTGTTTGCAGATGGGATTCCGAAACGAATAGCGACAAGTACACTAGAAATATCTGTCTTCGATATTTATATATATAGTTGACTTGATTTACGTACCGATTAATTTTGTAATTAAAAAAAAGGGGGATGTTTTACATTAATGGGTGTTTTTTGGGGATGGAATGATGTTTGCTTGAACGCAATCAATTTTCTTCAAATATATAACAAAATCGGTTTGCTAATTTTATTTATTAGTGTATATTTGGACCACCTCGTAAATTTAGGTGTTTGAAGATATTCTCTTACATGCATATTCAACACATTATTTTTATTAAATGCATACAAATTTTATACGCGTGTGGTAAGACTTCAGCAACATCAGCATCTGTATTTACATGAATAGTTTAATAAAATATTTTTGTACAACTGTATGAAAATGAAACGATATCAAATTCTTTCAATTACATCTCCAAGGAATAATTAAGTGCTCGTTTGGTAAAAATTAAAATTCAATTAAAATTGAAAATATAACCGTTATTGAATCCTACTCGTCTAATAAAAGTCAACAATAACAGTTAGATTTTCAATTTTACTCCGATTTTAATCTATAAGATACAATTTAATATTTTCATGATAAAAGTGTACAGTTGATATTATTTAGGGTTCCAGATTTTGTAATACAAAGTATTAGTAAGATAATGAGAAAGCGTCTAAGATGAATGGTGCCAGCCAAATGAGCTTTTTTTTTTCCCCCACATGGTCCGACAACCAAACGTGTACTCCGCTGTTTCCTTGGCTTACGGGAATTTTCATTTTTACTCTTAATTTCTCTATTAGTTGTTCTTGCTTCTTTCTTGTGTACTTTGGGAAAATAAGACATAATTAAAAAATTAAGGGGCTGTTTGACAACTTTTAATAAAAAAAAACTTAAAATTATTTGCTAGAAAGTTGAAAAAGATCGTGATTTCCGTGGTAGTTAAGGTTAATTGTTGACTTTGAAATCATTTTTTTATTAACTTTTTAAGCTATACCACAAACAAGCACTAAATGCAAAACATAATTAGTAATGAGGGATATGTTTACATCCATTCCGATTTAAAAGAGGTAACACTTGTAGTCGTAATTTTATACATAGCACCTAAAAAAGGTGAAGATAATGTTGAAATGCTGCGAAAGAATGACAAAAATTGTTCACTTTGTGTGGAATTCCCTTCTAGGAAATGCTTCATGGTCAAGGATCATACGTAAGCCAAACAAGTGGGGACGTGCTACATAGAATGAATTCCCTTTAGGGCTGGGATTTCTTTCCCTGCACCTTTTTGCCCTTGTAGACTACCACTACATATACAATTTTATCTAGGTAGGGTTGGATTAGTTTTGAACTCAATCCGAAATCAAAATTGACTTCAATCCAATCCAATTGCTAAAATCAAACCAAATCAGTCTAGGTCGATTTGATTTGGTTAGTGGGTTTGAACATCTGCCAGAGTCAAAAAAATTTGCCCATCTAAAGTTAAAAAAATTGTTTGCATATATACATATATATATAATTTTTATTTTTTTTTGCTTACATAATACGTATTACTAATATATATAATTTAAATGGTAAAGGGTCAGTTTTTCAAAAATCATCCTATATATCCAATAATTATCATCAAACAATTATATCAAAATGAAAAGCAAGACTACAATTTAAATTTAGAGTTTACAATAAACAATTAGTCTCCTTGCATTACTTCTCTTTTGGAATTTGAATTTTTTAAAAAAACGTAGATGATAAACAAATTATTTGAGAAATAATTTATTTGTATTATTTTATTTTTTAAGTTTAAGAATATGAATTTAAACAAAAATGTATTAGCTGGTTAAGTCGGTTAATTGAGGGATTGGTTGCTTAAATTGGAACCAACCAAGCTCAACTTTTCAATGGTTAAATTTATTCGAATCAAACCGATTTATTGGTTTAAACCAATCCAAAGTAGTTTGGTTTGGACAGTTTGATCAGTTTTTGGATTTTTTTGTCCACCCCTAGTTTTAGCACATAATAAGCGGCAAAAAATAGATCTAATATATTGTAACATCCCGGGACTAGATCAAAATTTGCTTTCATTTTCTCATTGTCGGACAATAAAACATGTAATCATATTTCTCAACTCCAAATCTTCCAACAGGGAGATCTTGCAAGAATCTCATAAACATGAATTCATGTCTAGCACACGATATTACGTTGGATAAACAAGGCTTTACTTCATTTTGAATCTTGTCTAATACTATAAACCAAATAAGTAATAAGCATTTTTGACACAAATGGAACACAAACTTGTCCAATGACTCCAGATAAAGGCAGCAAAAGCAACTAACATCCGCATACATGATCACAGAGTAATGTAGGCTCATAAATGGAGCAATTTGAAAGCTGAGGACCAAAATGCTTGGCCAAAGATGCCATCTCACACAGATAGTCATTCAAAAGTTTTCGAGTTTCTCTCACACGTCAAAACTGCTTGCCGTTCATATTAAAGGCTGAAAACACAGCATAGATTTGCATAGCACAAACCCTTCACAATTTTTACTAGATTTATAGGTCACTATCCTTCAGAAAAGTAACATGACCTCATCATGCACCCTAAGGAGGGGTTGCAGTACATCATTCTAAGAAATTTCTCACCAACAGTGTGTACATGAATCCCCAAATGATTTCTTGAAATCAATTACAAACAGTACAGTCCATTTACCTATAGGCTATAACAAGAATTCCTGAAATTTACAACCTACTATCTGCAAACATTGGCAGCCTCTTTCTTAAAACTGAGCAGCTGGGACGAAGAAAAATATCAAGCAATGCCATCAATAGACAGCACTCTCTCAGAACAGCATTATGCTTTTGACTTGATGGCTGATATGAGGTCCCTACAAGGAGAGGCAGCAATCGTCACTGTAAAAATTCTAAATAACAGGATAATAGCAGACATGATAAAGAATCCACCAAACTTCAAGAAATTTTATTGTATGTTCCTATGGCTAACATGAGTTACTGAAAAGCAGGAAAATATTATAATACCAGCAGATCATTAGCAATTTAACTATATTTTTCTAAAGAGAGAATAATATGATAGACAACCAGAAATCATCAATTAAATTCAGCTACTATTATAAAAATGCAAAGTAAAAGTTTACTAAAACAAAGGAAGAAATAAAATGTTTAAGACATCAAGTGAATGTCAAAATACAGTGATGAGCGAAAACCAAAAAGCAATAGCCACAATGCCTTGCTCCAAGCTACAATAACGAATGAATATTAAATATCCTCACTCATAAGTTTTCTGCAACTTAAAAGTAAAACTATATAATTCCATTAACAGCATGATCCACTAAAACGAAAAAGGTAACCAGAAACAATAACCAATGTTCTTTGAGAGGGGAAAGAAAACTGAATCATACTTAAAAAGGCAATCAACTCAAGGAATTTGCCAGTAGAAAGTTAAACTGTTAACGGTTACGGTAAAAAGAACCCAGTCTCATATCACATTCCTCTCCAGTTCAATATTCTTATATGCAAGGACTCTCATTGCATTTTCATTGTCTTTTTGAGAGTGAGAAAGTTAAGAGGGGCGCATGTATCAAGACTTTTAAATACGTTTCGTTATTATATCATCTTCTTCTCCAACTTCTTTTTCTTTTTCCTCTTCTACTTCTTTATTGCCT